CCCCAAAACCCCAAAACCCCAAAACCCCAAAACCCCTTTTTGTTAAGTTCAGACTGAAGCTTAGCACATGTTCTAGCAGAACGATCTCTGCTATGATGAAGGAACTAATGACTCATCTACAATAGCAATATTGGATAAGTCATGCTTTGACAGTAAAGAGTCTAGACTATCTGGAACACTGCAATACCCTAAGTTTAGGTACTTTAAGCTATGCTTGAGGCTACAAGAGCTAATGGAGCAAAATAAGTTGTCAAACCATTCTGTATTCTTCCTTCGCTCCTCCTCTGTAAAATCTTCTTGTGCTTTATTGTCATATCCACAAAAATAGAAACTAAGGTATTCGGTCTGGTACTCCAATGGCTCTCCTTTTTGGGATCTATAGAGTCAGAAGGGGGTATTTACTGGATTTCTAGATTCATCGGGGCTTCAATTGACACTCTGCAGTAATGGATCATGACTTTCTTGCAATTCCAACTAGATTTGATAATTTCCTGAAGAGTTTCCATCCCAATCTCCAAAAATCTGAGATAGATCTCCTTCTGAGCCCTACTTAGAGCTGATTTGAGCCCATCAAGGTAGTATTTAGCTTTTATCGGAGGAGTGTCTCCAAAATAGCTTCCAAATATCAGACACAGGAATGGAAATCCATCAGGAATACAGTACTTCAAGAACATATTCAGCCTTTCATCTTCGTCGCTTAAAGAATCTAGACAAATCCTACGGATTTTAGGAAGTCTAAGCTTTGAGAGAGCTCAGACATCAACCATTTTCCTCCCTTCTAAAGAATTTAGGGCCAACTCAAGCTTAAAGTTGCTATCAAAGGTAGCTTTTTCTTCAAAAATTTTGAAATAGAATCTTTCTGCTGACTCTCTATTAGGGGAAATGGTATCAGAATCCAAATGCTTCTTTTGTGAAGCTTCAAATGTATCCATTTCTAGCTGGTTTGAAGGGATAAGGTCTCTGATTGCTTCTATCTCCTTCAAAAGTTTCCTATTCTGGTACCCTAGCTGTTGATTTTCCTGCTGTAAAGCATCTATTTTATCCTCTAAAACATATCAAAAAGAGTCATACCGATGGTTTTTAGGAGGTTCTGGAGGATCTCCCGAGCTTTAGACTCCTGAGAGATCTCAACCTGTTTTTGCTCCAATAAAAGCTGGAGATCTGAGATCTTGTGCTCCAAGTTTGAAATTTGGATAGCCTCTTTGGATGATTTGAGCTTTTCAAATTCTTCGTCTACTATTGAAGATAATTTCTGTTTGTAATTCATGGTGAGTTTGGTTATCTCTGAACGGTAAAATTCTGTATTTTTTAGAATAATAGGAGTGAGAGGCATTTTTGGATCATTTAGGGGTGTTTTTAGCTCTTTATGGGATCTTAGAAGTGCTAGGGTTTTTAGATAGGTGATTTTTGAGAAGAACGAGTTGAGTCAGAGATTTGATTGGAATCTAAAATTTGATTAGCAGAGTTACTTTTGGAGTTGGAGTAGCAGAGAATTGGAGATTTTTGTATCTGCTGTTATCAATTGCTCTTCAAAAGTCTGTTGGTATCCTTCAATCTTCTCATTCAATGTTTGAATTTCTTCTTTCAACCCAATGCATTCCTCAAGAGCCTCACAGTCAACAACATATGTGCCAAATCACTGCATGAATTGCTTTAAAAATGTTAAAACTCGCTCAATCTCGCCTCTAAAATCCCTTTCTGTCTCTCAATCAAAATGGGACTCTTCCTTACAAGTCTGACAGATAATTCTTTCATGGTCATTTCAGTAAAATCCAACTTTGTCTATTATTCAGTCTCCTTAATCTTACCATTTGTGCAATCCTTTTGCTGGCAGAGCAGCATTGATTCATAATTAACAGCCATTATATTTAATTTTGATAGCTTACTGGGGTTTTGGGGTTTTGGGGTTTTGGGG